GGACCCCTGGGTCTGAGGGAGGAGGGGCTGGGGGCCTGGGCTCCTGGGTCTGAGGGAGGAGGGGCTGGGGGCCTGGACCCCTGGGTCTGAGGGAGGAGGGCGCTGAGGGTGTGCTCAATTGCAACACCTATCTCACAGCGGCCAAAACGGCCCCGAAAGGCAAAGATGAGGCCAAACCTGCTGCCGAGGAACCCGCTCCCAAGGAAAGCCCAACAGAGGAGGCCCCCCCACAGTCCCCCAAAGGTAAGATGGTGTCCCAGGGGCTCAGCCGAGCTTGGACCTCACCGCCCAGGCTCCCCTGGCCCTTCTGCACTCTCCCCGTCCTCCCACGGTGCCCCCAGAGCTGACCCTCCCCTCCCCAGCCTTCCATGGCTCCCCAGTGCCCCTGGGACAGAGCCCAGCCCCCCAGCCTGGCCTGCAAGCCCCAAACACCCAACACCTGGCTGATTCGTCACTGAGTCCTGCCCGCTGGGAACGCCCCGTCCACCTTGGCGCCTCTCCTATTGCAAAGCCCCCTCAGGACCATCCAGCCCACCCTCCCGTTCACAGATGGGGAAACTGAGGCCCAAGGGGCTAGGCCGGCCTGGCCACGGTCACGCAGCTTCCTGGGGTCACGCGGTCTTTCCCAGGTCAGGAGGGGCCAGGTCACACCATGGCCTTTGGCTTCTGAGCAGAGGGTCCCCCACTGGCTCTAAGCCCTGTCCCCACAGTGGCCTGTTGCCCCTCCCAGTGCCTCAGACCCAGTCCTGTCTCCCACCAGAAGCCCCGTCCGAGGAGCAGTCCCCCACTGCCGAGGAGCCCACTGGCGTTTTCCTGAAGAAGCCAGACTCTGTGTCTGTAGAGAATGGTGAGGGGCCTGGGGGCGGAGGGCTGGGGGCCTGGACCCCTGGGTCTGAGGGAGGAGGGGCTGGGGGCCTGGACCCCTGGGTCTGAGGGAGGAGGGGCTGGGGGCCTGGACCCCTGGGTCTGAGGGAGGAGGGGCTGGGGGCCTGGACCCCTGGAGGGGCTGGGGGGCTGGACCCCTGGGTCTGAGGGAGGAGGGGCTGGGGGCCCGGATGCCTGGGTCTGAGGGAGGAGGGGCTCGGGCTCCCAGCCTCCAGTCCTCTCTAGAGTCTGGGGTTCCCACCTGACCACTCCCTCTCATCCTTCACCCCTCCACCCCCCGCGCCCCCAGGAAAGGATGTGGTGATCGTTGAGAGGGTGAACGGGAAGGAGCTCCCAGGCAAACCAACCATCAAGTGGTTCAAGGGGAAGTGGCTGGAGCTGGACATCAAGAGCGGGGCCCGGTTCACCTTCAAGGCCACCCATGACTCCGCCAACAACGTGAGGGCCAGGGACACGGGTGGGGCCAGGGCTCGAGCCACGCAGGCCTGTGAACACCTGGGTGTCATCCTGGGCCTGGGTTCCGGGGGATGGAGGGTGCTCGGGGCTGCTTGGTAGATAGAGGTTGTGTTGGGCAGGAGGGGAGACCGTTGGGGTTCAGGCACGGGCACGGTGTGTGCGTTCCCAGAAAGTCTCAGGGGGTCAGGGCAGGGGCCTCAGGGTCAAGATTGTCAGGCCTGGGTGGGGTGGGGGAG